GGACTCACTTATGATACAACTTTCGAAAAAGTCTGTAATAATAAAATTTAAATGCATTACAAAACGAGAATAAATGACTTCATGTACTTTACAAATTGTACAATATAGTTACCTTTTGCTTGGGTTATGTTGATGCAGGATATGAGCACCACTATCAACACAACTTTCATATTTCACTCAGTGTTACAATATATTGTGATTAATGAAATGATCTTCACTCTAAAAAAGTATCTTCTGTAGAAATGTTCCTTATTCAACTAACCAACTCGCTATAACTTATTCGTCTATGTTCCTCGTCTTATATAGCCAAGGTATTGGTCGATTACCGTTTTGTTCCTTATTGTGATTGTTTTGCCAATGGAACAAAATTTCTCTATGATCATACGCCCATCTAAGTTCCGTATAAACAATAGCATCTGTTTGAAAAAAACCGGTACTACTAAATATAGACATATTGTATGTTTAGCTAGTTGAGTGGCAAAACGTCATTGCTTTCACATATATTTGTTGAGAGGCAGGACAGTGTAGTGAAAGTAAATATGTTTCCTATATCTTTGTAAAATTTTGCATTTCATTCAAACTACTCGTATTTCTTTTCTTTAAATTATTGTATTCTGATGAGTTTTTCTCTGGAAAAACAAAAGAGATTTCTGTTTTTCCTTTGAGTTTAGCGTGTCTTCGTATAGCTACATTGGTGATTTTAGCTGTTTCATTATCTTTTGACATGTATATTTTGTTATGATAATGTCGATGGATAAAGTGTTCATTTTAATTGAGCAATTATGAAAGTATGAATGCAGGATTTAATAGAAATTCTAAGTAAAGTTCAGATTTTTGTAGAATAATATAACAAGTAACTGCAGTTTATTCCGTGTTGAGTGCACGCAAGTAAATCTTCTTCAACTTGAAGACCTTTTTTATATTGAAACGCAAGAGAAAAATTAGCGATAGATCAAGTCTTGATACATGGATACTTTAGAACATTTCAGTTCATAATAAAACGTTAATAAAATGATTTCATGCATGCTACTCACGTGTATCAAACTTGTTCAAGCACGTGCCTCATTCCAGACAAAATGTGAGAAACCACTGATGTACGAAAAGTTACGTATTTTAAACGGGGGAGCGGCATATTAAGGAAGCAATTTTGTAAAATTAAGTATTTTCTGTTTTCAAATGTAGTAGTGTTCTTTGAATCATTTTTGTAAAGTTCTTTTGCTTTTTTTGAAATATTTTGCTTTAAAAACAAAGTCTTATAATTTGTATATATAGCTACAGCTTTTAGCTATATAATAAACACAGTGCAATAAAATTAATATACTCGTTGACTAAGGTTAATTCACTTAAACAATCGGTGTTGTAAAATCACTAAAAGTTTGAAACTAATTAGAATAAAACAAATTATTGAAAATCACTAAAATTAGTATTGGTTTCACAAGAAAATCTATGTTTTCATTTACTTTTGGAACAAATTATATATAATTAGGGACTGATTCATTGAGCCCGAGTAGCTGGGGATTCAGCCTAGCGTTAAATGATTTTGGCAAATGGAAACGATTCAATACTCAATCATCAGATAAATCTTCCCGCACAATTTCACATTATTCTGATTTAACATCTAGGCAAAACGTTTAAAATCTAAATCACCAATTCGGCCTAGTTTGAGAATTACAACAGAAATGACCTTGTGGCCCTTAACAAACACTTGCCTCCTTTCAATGCCTCGAAATTATTTCAAGCCTTACTGAATCCCGGATTTTCGGGGGTTAAATAAACACCTCCTCACAAGAGTTTCAACTGATAGTCTGTCGGCATTTGGTGAAATAAATAATATTTTAAAATATTAGAAAATTGGAAAAATATTTTCTCTCGTTTTAGATTATTTTGACAATATGACGAGCCTATTTCAAATACTCGGAACGGAAATGTCTGTTTAGTTTTAAAGTTGTGGCTGATTTTGTCCTTAGTTTAAATTCGACATATTCAACTACACTGCATTTTGTCCACTTTCTGTTGATGTTCATTTAAAAATTACGTAAACCACTCAAAGTGTGTATTTCAATGCGATAATGTGCTTCCTTGTAAAAAAATCACTCGTTTTTACAGTTTCGAAGGATGTATTTTGAATGAAATCTTTTTGTCTTCGCAAATTATATAACTATTAATTATGATATAAAGACTCTTACATCCTATTTTCCGCGTGCTGCGTTTTAGTTCCCCTTAGAAATTATTTTTAATCTTGCAATTAGCTAAACGCGTAAATTACAAAATCAATACATGGATTTTCTGACGAATTTTCAAGGTAGGATTTAAACATCACAAAATTTATCCATATACGTTGGCTTATTGCTGTGACTACGGAAACGTGAATGGTAATTCATATTTAGAGAATATTTTATCTAGAAAGCTTCTCATATAATGCTCTGATCGGGTGTTCTTCAACGTATAGTGAATAGTATAAAGCAAATTCCGAAACAGCAAGACATCTTGTGGTTGCAAAATATGCAGCAAAACAAGACGAGAAGTGTACTGTAAATTTTCGACTTTATTTTAAAGTTATCCTCAGACAGAATGATCACTTCTCGTATTGTATTGATGCATATTTTGCAATCTCAAAATGTCTTGCTTTTTCGGAATTTGCTTTATACTATATTTCTTTAAATTGTCGGCCGGTCATGGTTTTTGGTATGGTGGACAGAGTCAATGAACATTTAGAAACACTACATATTGTCTCAGAAAGATTATTATAAACTGCGTTTTTAGTGCTTACTAGATATTTCTGTTTACAAAAACAAATAAATTCAGTTTAATGTAGAAAAAACGACCATATGCAACATACTGCAAAATAATGCAATACAATATAGTTAGATCAGCTCACGACTCTTTAATTCTAGATAGTAAGTACATGATGCTTTTTGTGGAATATTCACTAATATGGCAACGTATCTATAAACGCATCAATATATACTCTAAAGTATATACTTATCAATACTTGGCACGGCGTTATGTAATTTGCATGGCCATAGTAATTTTGCATATGTATAACAAAGTTTAATCGTTTAATTGTGTCACACAAACACTTTCAATCATGCAGATGTAAGGAGATGTCGTCAATATATGGTAAGGATTGTTTAACTTGATTAAATTTTACACAGTTTTTCTTTGAGAATATTTTGAATGAAGTTTTATAATTCATCACATAATTTATCGAAAGTAGTTGGGATTTTGGTGATTGCTATTACTAATTTTTACTATGATTTGTTTTGACGCTATTTTGAACAACAATGCATTAACGCGGATTAACATGACATAGTATTTTATATATCTGAGTTTTACAAATGGAGAACAAATGAACAATTGTAGGCAGCGTATATCACTTACTAATACAGTAATACTGCATTAACAGACAATCTTTGGGTTAGTTAAAGTTGTTAAATTTAAACCTAATTTTCTGGACATCCTGACACACCATAATATATTCACAACTAAAACAAAGGACAAAAAAGCTGAGATTATATAAAGCAACACACTCTAATAATATCAACATCATATATCATACTATAATCTCTGCTTTAGCATTGAGCACTCTATCTATACGATTATGTTTGCGCTAGCTACTACAGCCATCACCACAATAATCTTTTACTTATATATTTATTATTTATGTATATATTTATATTTGTAAAGTTCGTTTCGTGTTTAAACGTAAAGGTAGAGCCTGCATTATAGTTTCATTTATTTTAGTATTTACGTGGAAGTGTTACAAAATGAGTGAGTCAAACTTTATTTATCAAATCGTAATTCATTATTATTGAAACGTGTTCAAAGGAACTATAACTTTTGCTTGACAATGGCTACAAGGAACGATTTTTATGTTGTGAAGACTACTGTGAAATACTGGTGAGCCATGAACTTTTGATTGCCTTGAGACGAAATTCTGCCAAATGAAAGACACTAAAGATAAAGTAGAAGATACATTAAAGATAAACGTCCTTCAATGAAGTCAACTTAGTAAAGTCTTCATATAATATTGTTGACGGGGGTTGATGAAATATTGCAGATCAATTGCAGATACGATTACTCTTTTGTCTTGAGCACCAAGAAAAACAACGACATATAGTGCCATGCACTTATAGGCCATAGTACATTAAATACCATGTACTTGTGGTTATATTGAACAGCAAATTGCAAAACAAAGGTAAAAGGTTCAAAACTACTGTATTTTCTATGAAATAACTACTAATGTTCAAGCTCTATCTTAAATTTATTAAAATAATTAATATTTTTCAATTAAATATTTATCTTTTCAGACTACCCATAATTTTACTGCTCGATAATGAAAGGATCTTTGAGCGATGCTTTGTCAGTGTAAACTTCAGGAAGATGAGATCTTTAACGTCTCTTGTAGGATGATGGTGAACAATATGTGGTTTAGACATTGGTCACTGAGATATTTTGATGCTTTCTGCAAAAAAACTTTTCTTTATTGCTGAACAGTAACGTGGTTTAAGAATTGCTGCCTGAGAAACGCTGGTGCTTCAGTCTGAAAAGAACTACGTTTCATTGCATTTTTTTTAGCTGATCTCTATCTAGTTAATACCATGAAATGTGAATAATTGCAATGAAAATTTCATGCAGGATCGGGTTATCGCCATTGCCCTAATGCAGGAGCGGATCCTGGAGATTATGAAAGAAGGGGCTGAACTCTTTGAATTAGTTTGAAAACTGAAACTCAGATATATTATTCAATTTTCTTGGGTTTTTGTCTAGCAAAAGGGGTGGGGGTGGGGTGCTTCAACCCTGCTAATGAACTTACAATTGCCATTTGATATATGCAAGAAACGTTCACTGTATCAATAAAACAAACACTAAACTGACCAGTTATTTCTTTGATATTAGCCAAGTATTGAGCTGTTAACGATTTTAATTCTTTTGTTGCTTGATAAGGCAACGTAGCTGCATGGTTGTATTTTATACATATGTGCAAAAAACAGATAACATACAACATGAATAAATTTATTGAAAATATATAATCTTTTTACATTGAAATATAAAAAGTTTATTCAGAATGAATGCGTTTTTGAAACACAAACATCCTTATACCGATGTGATAAATAATCATGGGATATTATTTTACTAGGTATGAAAATTCATTGTCTGTGAATATAAATTCAGCCTGTAGTTCTAAAGTAAACATTCATTAGTAGTTAGTTTAAGACAATTAAAAACGACTTAAAGCAAAAAATCCAGTTAGTTTTCACACTCTTCAGTTCTCACTTAATGGCAACAGCACGATGACTCTAACAAAGAAAATATTAAACTTGAGTTCAATCAGTCTCATACAAGACTTTTTATTTGCAGAATTAAAACATATGAAGATGTTTTGATTATATGTCATGTTATAACAAAATAAATTCAAAACCGAGCAAGAGACATATAGCTTTAATAAAGTCACTATTTTAAAAATTGTAAGTACGTACCTCGCCATGGTCTAATATTCAGTCGCCTTGTTCTATCGCAAACTTCTTTACGTCCTTTTGCAAAGAAAGCTTTTTGCTGAACTGATATAACATCAATGTTGTCGCAAATTACATCCGACAACTTACGAGCTTCTATTGCTTTTCGCTGAGCATCCGTAAATCCTTCTGGCAATGGATTTGTGTAAAAGAATCTATCCCCTTGTCTTAACCGATCAAATTGATCTTTGACGATACAAGTAAAGGTAGGTCCTAGAATTGGGCTTTCATTTGCTGAAGAAATACGCGGTTTTTCACCAATGCCAGCTGCAAACACATCAGTATTTTGAGGTCGATTATTATAAACTGATTTAAGACTTTGCAGTACTTCTGGTTCAAAAGTACACTAATATCGTCAAAACTTCTCACACGAGAGATCAAGTTCGCTGGGATACAAAAGGGATAACGCCGCTGACATCTTCTTAGAAATGCGCTATAAAACGTAGGCCATGTTCACGTGCACGTTGCATGTTCAATGCAGCAAGATTTAGACCTTCTCGGCTGATTTCATCACGCTGGAACAATTCATTTGTGAGACCAATCGCCATTTCATTGTCCATTTCTTGAGAAACATTGCCAACCATTCCAATCATCCAGCCATCAATCCCGTTGACTTGAGCCAGTGTATTATTAAAGAAAAGTTCGCGCAAGGGGACTGGAGAGAACGGAAAAGATTCATAGTCTCTTTTGAGAAATTCAAACTTCGGTCTGATCAAACTATGTCCTAACCTAAATGCTATTGTAGCGAACTCGTTAGATATAGAAGCATTTACTCTGGGGTTATATCTGATGTTTGAATCTAATACATCAGTTCCAATCAGAATTGGTAACCATTCTTCATATGTTATATGTTGAATCAAAGCACCAACAATTTTTCTTGCTTCCTGATAGATTTTTTCTGAGTACCAATGTGGATTTATTCTTGAAAGACGTCTTGCAATACGATTGTGTTCACGAACCCAGAGTGTATGCATAGCTGCTAAAGCTGCTTGTTCGTTTATTCGGTTATCACCTGCGAGGAAACAAGATCCAAGATTCTCGCAAAGGCTAAGTGGCTCACCTAATTGACTGTTGTCAATTGGAGGAAGATTATCACCAGAAGTTGCCAGAAACCTAAGATTTCCTAAAAATAAATACAAAAGAATTATTAGACTTTTATGAATTTTAGCAAACTTTTAGAGGCAGTTTTATAAAAGTGTCTGTTTTTGTTATTTGAAAGAATGTTGTTTTTGTTATTCTTACTTATACTTTGTATGTTTGGCAATGTTTTACATATCCTTACCGGCATCACGAACTGCGTCTTGAACGCTTTCTGATGACCCATAAACCATAGATGCATCAAGATATGCAGTATTTACATTAATCTGCTCACGTGGTGTAGCTTTCTTAAAATCACATCTTGCCGCAGATCTAATTAATCGAATACATGGTCTTTGTCCAAAAGGCAAGATTGGGAAGCATGGATCAACAAAATCTTCTGCGCTACCATCGCACCTGAAATTTAAGAGTATGACAAAATAAACAATTTATTTCGTTTAATAAAAGTTTTTAAGTAAAAAAACAGATCATTTTACATACGGTATATTTTCACATATGTCACCATTCTCAGATTCCGGTGCTAATGTTAAATCATGATCAATAAACTGTCCCCATTGCATGAACAAATGCGTGATACCATCGCGGTTTGGTTGATTTTTATCTTGAATGACGATGTACTCATCTGTTACTTTGGAAGGATTAGGTAGGTTTGGTGCATTAGGTTGATTTAAACCTCCACCTGCCGGCTCATTCAGTCCTTCAGCATCAAAGTATCGAGCACGAAACATGCGTGAAAAAATAGTATCAGCTGCACCTTGTGTTGGATTATCTAAATTGTTACATGTTCCATCTATCGATCGATAAGCTTGATTTGCTTCGCATTGAATATTTGAAATCTCTGGAATGCAACCAGTCTCTTCTATTAGTTCTTCAAGACGTTCTTCTGAAAACATGCCTTCAGGACCCACATAAATTTCAGCGGTCTCGTCAACTGAAATAAATTCTTTTATTGAAATTTCATCTTTTTACATGATACAGACGAAATTTCCCAAATTTTTTTGCATAATATAAATATATTTATAATAAGTATTAAAAGTATTAAAATTATAATATCTTACCCTCCGTTTTGATCAGTTTTTCAGCCTCTTTGCACACCTGATTAAACTTGCATGAAGCCAGTGAGTTCGCTCTTGTCCTTCTGCTCCTTGTTGCCATAAGGATGCTATGCAATTTTTTTGGTAATCTGAAGTTTTGTCCAGTGGGTCGGAAAGGATTACTTAGTTTTACTTTATCCATTACAGACAAAGCTTTTTTAAGCAAACTATCGGCGTAGCCTGCTTTCAAAACATACACCACAAGATTGATCTTATCAAGAAGTATATTATTTCTTATGTGCCTTAGCTCACAGGTTATTCTGAAGGTTCTTTCGGAACCAAATGGAATGAGACCAAAAAGTGTCTTATTTAATACAATTATTCCATTTATATTATCGCCAAGTACAAGAACTGCCTGGAATCTTCCATCGGTAACTAAAAGCTGGAACGCAGCGCCAGTTGTTGCTCTGAATTTCGACTTAAACACGCCAGTTAGAAGCGGTGTCTTTTCACTGATGATCGATTTCAAAAAAAAGTCTGAAAGAAAAGAAAATCTTGTTAAATCTTTGAAGGATAATATCTCCGTTGTTCATAATTTTTTTCATCTAGCAATCAATATTAAAATGGGTATTTTCTAGATAAAAAAGTGTAGATAAAATTGTAGCAAGTAATTAGTTGAAATCGCATGTACTAAATATAAACAAAAAGTCGTCTTTTTCAGTCTTCTAAATCATCTGCCTTCATTGTTAAATAAAGATTTTAATTTCCACTGATGTAAAAACGTTGTTGAGATCAGGAAAAAATAACAGTTTCATACGGTTGGTAAAACAAAATATAGCTATTTATGAAAAAGGGCATCAACTTCAAACAGATTTGGCCATGAAACATAACGGCTAGATGTCTCTCAACGAGCATTTACTGTTTAAGGAAGAATATTTGTCGTTTGCTCCATTGATAAGATGTTTGAAGCAGTCTTGGTTTCTTACCTGTAGCTTGACATGTAGTAATGTACAAAACCAACAATAATATCAATTTAGTCGTCATTTTCGTAAGCTACAGCTGAACAGTTGAGTTGCTTGATCAGTAAGCTTGCTCTATCTCAGTCACCGATTCACTCGATCTTATATATCCTTGCTGGTAATCGGTAATTACTTTAATCTCTAAGGAGAATTTTGTGTTGGAATGTCTTAATATCAAAATCTTTTGTACGTGCCATTAAACTCCCCCAGAAAAATTAAGATACCGACAGTTAATTGTTCACGAAATTTTTTGCTTGTATACAGAGACGCACGATCAGAGAGATTTAAAAAAACATCTAGCGATTTTAAGAATATGGGAAAATGGATTGTGCTTACGACGTAAACATTTTGCCCACTAATATAGACACTTCATGGGTAGGGATCGATACTTTGGGCTTTTTTGTTCAGACTACTTTCACCATAGTAATCCTCAAAAAAGGAGGTTTATGGAGCCCAGTATAAAAGTTAGTATTTCCTTAAAAATGATATATCTGAAAACACAACACGTTTGCCAACACAAATTCTTCACATGTGGCACACAAAATCTTCACGTGTACACTTCATAATTCCGAAGTGTTTTGCGACTATTATAATAATCTTTAAATAGGCATTCGCTGCCCACAAATGGCAGGAAATGTCTACTCAAATAGAGTGATAATTTGTTTAACAGTTTTACTGTTGGTCTCAGTGAGTTGTATTATTACAAGACATATAAATTGCTAAAGATTTTTACTCAAGATTATTCAACCATGTATTGAAATAGCTTGCTCAATTGTTGCAAGTACGACCATTTTATGAAATTTATAGCGTTTATCAATGAACTTGAATTCTTAAAAAAGACACATTTTAACTGCGATTACGTTAAGATTAGAGTCAAATTTATATTTAAACTTTGCATGTTATCTTTGTCCATCACCAAGGAGTATTTTATGCTCTTTTTTAATGATAAATGCCTCCAAAATTCAGTGCATACTGACACCTTCTCAAAACCATTAGAAAAATTTTCCTTGGTTGTTTTGAAGACTTATATTATACTTGAGAAAGACTAAGCGTGCCGAAAGACGTCAATTAGTCAAGTTTAGATTAACAGAATCTACCAAAACAGGTAATGTTGTTTTTAAAATGGCCATCATTGATTCCGGTAGCTTTATCGTTTTGTCAAACATGTGTATTATAATATGCATTTTCAGCTGTGCTAAAACCTTCATTGTATATTACTAATATGACTTCAAAACTTTTGTTGTTATATAACTGAAAAATCTTCTGTGTTACATAACTCAACACTGAAGTTTCACTTAGCAAAAATAGCAAATTCTAAATTATATAATTTTCACTTTAATGCTTAACATTTGTGGGTTCTTCGGCGCTCTAATGATTATTAATTTTTTTATTGATGTCCAAAATAAAATAACGGAAACAAGATATGACGTTTTTGTTTTGTCATCTGTACCACGCAATGCTACACGATCCCATACCACGCTTAAGTATGAAGTATGTATATACTGTTTGTTAGATTAACAACATGATAAAACAATTATGTTTACAAAGTACTTTGAAAGTTTGTCTTTCTTTACGCTACGTAAAAGATATTAACCTGTTACACTCAACGTTTACCAATTGTTTTCTCAGTAAACTTTTTTCGATGATTTTTCAAAATAAGAAAAAACATGCATATGACATAAGCAACTCACACAGAGAAATATATATACCAACTGAAGTATTTGGGTAAAAGGATGTTATGGTTTTTGTGATTATAAGCATCAGAACAGGAACTTGTTAATCAATATAGATCATTAATTCATCATATAGAGCATAATAAAAGTTTCAATTGATAGCTAGCTAAAGCTGTTTAAATTGCCCGTCACAGGATGATCGTTTATGTGTCTAGCAAAATATACCAATGCTAAATATGTACAAGTTTCAATTTCTCGTCTATGGAGGATTAATATTTAAAACTTAATTGTTTTGCTAAATAATTATAGTTAAATATAGTTGTCTTGTGTAGCAAACCTTTGTTGTTATATAACTTCAAAATCTTCTGAGTTACATAACTCAACACTGAAGTTTCAGTTAGAAAAAATAGCAACTTCTAAATTATATAATTTTCGCTTTATCGCTTAACATTTGTGGGTTCTTCGGGGCTCTAATGAACATTAATTTTTTTATGGATGTCCAAAACAATATAACGGAAACAAGATATGACGTTTTTGTTTTGTCATTTTTGTACCACGCAATGCTACACGATCCCATACCACGCTTAAGTATGAAGTGTGTATATACTGTTTGTTAGATCAACAACATAATAAAACAATTATGTTTACAAAGTACTTTGAAAGTTTGTCTTCCTTTACGCAGGTAAAAGATATAAACCTGTTACACTCAACGTTTACCAATTTTTTTCTCAGTAAACTTTTTCGATGATTTTCAAAATAAGAAAAACATGTATGTGACATAAGCAACTCACACAGAGGAACAAGAGTGCTGCCCAGAAAAGTATATTGCAATTGGGAATTACATTTGTAGCTATTTACAAACCTTGAATTTATTCAATCACAACTTAAATTATATTCATATCAATTTAAAATATTGACAGTATAATGCTCACCGATTGCTATGATTTAGTTTATAGCGCTTACTGATACACATTCATAATTTCCTATCATTTTTGTAGAGTTTGTCATGTTCTAGATTACAAGTAACTTAAAATTCATTTTAATTTTAAGGAATTTGTTTGTCAAAGGAATTGATGAATGCTCAATGAATAACGTCATATTACTCTACCATAAATGCTTTATTTTAAATCAAATATGAGAGTCCATTAGGATGTAGTTCTGAACATTACACTTGTGAGAAAAATGGACAAATTCAAGTCATAACGTTATACAGAAATTTTCCCTCTTTAGATAGATTTTTGTCCCTCAGTTACGGATGTTTGCATTGTTATTCGGAAACATATTTTGTTCGCATCTGTTCGCATTTTGTTCGCATCTATTGTGAATAAGTCGTTTGTAAAGTGCCGGTAATTGCTGTGATCTGTTCAGGGGGGTTTGTTCCAAGTTGGTATACCAACTTTCTAATGTAAGCCGTTGTATATAGTCAGTGCTGTATTTAATGCATTTTGCCGAGTCCCACTCAATGTTGTGCTTTGTGAGTCGGTGATGTTCGGCAATGTGATTAGCTTTGTCTTGTTTCTTTGTAGCTCGCTTATGTTCAATAAGTCTTATGTTTAAGTTCCTGCCAGTTTCCCCGATACCAACGTTTGAGATAGTTGTTTTTGTTGTGTAGAGTGTCCAGTGAATCACAAATGATTTGTGCACGTCTTGTTAATGTTCTGATTGTGGTGGCTTTGCGTGATGCAGGGTTGTAAGATGATTGGTCTAGTAGTCGGTCAGTGTGTGTTGGTTTGCGATAAACTGTTATTCGTAGTTTGTGATTGTCCTGTTTTATCAAACAGTCGAGAGAAGGAAGTGTTCCGTTTTCTTCGACATCTCTGGTAAATTGTATGTGGCTGTTCTGTTTGTTGATGTGAGTGTGAAAGTCATCAATCTCGTCTACATGTAGTGCTGTGATTGTGTCATCAACGTAGCGGAACCAAAAAGGTAGTGCATCTTTGTAAGTCATGAGCGCCTCTATATATTGCATTACAATTTCAGCAACTACAACAGAAACGGGTGAGCCCATTGCTGTTCCATGTAATTGTTTGTAGTGTGTACCTTTGTACTGGAAGTAAGTCGAGGTGAGGCAGAGCTCTAGCAACTCCATAATGTCTTCTGTCGGTAATGGCAGTACGTCGTGGTATTTGTAATGAGAGTTTTTGTACAAATAAGTGCCAGATTAAGTGGAATACTCGTGAACAATGATTTCACATAAAAGACACTGGTATATAGTTGTCCGGTATTTGTATAGTGCTTAATTTTTTAATGAAATTTTCAGTGGATTGTAGCTTGTGTTTTGATTTGCTTGTAAGTGGTTGCAGTATGTCAGCCAAGTAGTTTGAGAGTTCGTAAGTAGGCGAACCACAGAATGATACAATTGGTCGCATGGGTATTTTTGGTTTGTGAAGTTTTGGTAGTCCGTATAGTCTGGGTGGTCATGGTACTGAACATCTAAGTCGATAGTAAACACGTTCAGATATAATGTTAGATTTTCTCATAGAGAAGATCTTGCTGTTAAGTTTGCGTACTAGTGATGGTGTTGGGTCTCGTTCGAGTTGTTCGTACGTTTCTGTGTCGCTAACAAGGGTGTCCATTTTGTCGAAGTAATCATTCCTGTCCATGAACACAGTCATGTGTCCTTTGTCTGCTGGTAAAATGACGATGTTGTTGTCGTGTTTTAGTCGTTTGAGTGCATGTTGCTCGTCCTTTGTCAAGTTGTTGTCACGTATAGAGGTAAAAAACAAGGATTTGAACCTGGGAAGGCACCTGAGCACCGCACCAACAACTATACCTCTCGTCCAGACGAGAGACAGTCGCTGGAAACAGTTGGAAATTATATTCAAATCGGGAAACATTACATGCCGGGCGGGAACTATTATTCCTCAACGAAAATGGTCGATAACCACAAAAATAAGACCATGCTGGAGATGTACAATATTAAACGCGCCCGCGCGCACACGAGTGCCATAGACCATTTAATAACATGGCGGATAAATCATCAGTGGTATGTTTCACTGCAGTAAAGAGGCATATACAACCACAAATACTACCATCCGACTGGTGCAGCTTAAGTAAGACATTTCAGGCCTTAATTTAGTTCATTTTTAAAATTTCATGTATGAGAACAATATTTCTTCGTGCATCCATGTTTTTTAGGAGTTTGCAACATCAAACGTTCGAATCAAGGCACCACAACCGACCAACAGGGTTCACTCAGTACTCATAAATATCTATGTGAGAAGTCTGACTCGGAGATTGGTACTTAGACTAATTATAGTCTAGTATTGTTAATTCAAGAACACAGTACTGGACTACTGGTTTTTGTTAATTGGGGTATTTTTGGATTACATCTGCTAAATCTATCAATTCAGAAATAAATTCAGACGCTCATATGAGTTCTTTTACAATAACGT